CAATTGGACATTCTACGGGAATACGGGTCAACGGAGACGGTCAGAATGTTGATGACATGGAGAAGAAGACTAGAATATTTAAAGGATTAGCTGTGCCGGATAGAGAACAGCAGTGGGAGGATGAGCCGTTAGAGTCGGAAGCCAAGTATGGACCACTGACTGGCGCCCTCGATGATACCTTCGCGATGCTTGAAGGCCTGGCTGGGAAAGGCACAAAGCTGTCAAATGGTGCAGACAATAGCAATAGGAAAAGAAACCGGAGTCCAGATGACATCGACGGCGACCGGAGCAGAAGGGAAAGGGACAGATTTTGGTCTCGATCAAGGTCTTATAGCCGAGAAAAGCATAGCAGACATCGAAGGAATAGTGGCCACAACTACGACAAGGAATACTCCGCTCATGCGAACGAAAATCGCACTAACGACAATGAGTATCGCACCGGTCGAGGAGGTCGTAAAAAGGGACACAGATATGATGAAGACGATTTCTTCAAGCGTCCACCCACTCCCGAGATCGATGATGCACCTAAAATCTTCAAGGTATACAATGGTACAGTCAGCGGTATCAAGCCTTTTGGAGCATTCGTGAGCTTGCAGGGCGTGAAAGGGAAAGCTGATGGATTGGTGCATGTCTCTGCAATGCAGGAAGGAGCCCGAGTGAACGACCCTTCAGATCTTGTTTCTCAAGGTCAGTCTGTTAAGGTGAAGGTCGTGAGTATCGAGCCTGGACCTAAAGGGTCTCGAATCGGACTATCAATGAAAGAAGTAGATCAAGTCACAGGTCGCGATCTAGTACCTCAGAAGAGACTAGCATCAGGTGCAAACATGGAAAGGCTCGATGGTAAGGGCCCTGAAACCAACGGCAACGACAGATATGGTAGTCTCTCTTCAGATGTACCTGTTATAGAAGGTGAAATGAATGGGAAGCGCATGCGACAAAAGAAAAGAATGACGTCTCCTGAAAGGTGGGAGATCAAACAATTGATTGCATCAGGCGCCATCTCTGCATTGGACTACCCAGACATCGATGAAGAGTATAATGCAACGTTAGCTGGGGAAGGCGATTTTGAGGAGGAGGAAGACGTGGATATTGAAGTCCGAGAAGAAGAACCTCCATTCCTTGCTGGGCAGACAAAGCAATCTTTAGAGCTTTCCCCTATAAGAGTTGTCAAAGCACCAGATGGATCGATGAATCGCGCTGCCATGGCCGGTACATCCCTAGCAAAGGAGCGCCGTGATCTACGACAGCAAGAAGCACAGGACAAAGCTGCTGAGCAAGCCTCACAAGTTGACCTGAACGCGCAGTGGCAAGATCCAATGATGGCCCCCGACCAGCGCAAATTCTCCAGCGACCTCCGAAACCCGCAAGCACACAAGGCCCCTGATACTTTGCCGGAGTGGAAGCGGGTGACCCAAAGCAAAGACCAGTCACTTGGGAAAAGAAGCTCTATGTCAATCAAGCAGCAAAGGGAAAGCTTGCCAGTATATAAATTTCGCAAGCAGCTCCTCGATGCTGTCAACGAAAATCAACTCATGATTGTAGTGGGCGACACTGGATCTGGTAAAACTACCCAGTTGACACAGTATCTTGCAGAGGGTGGTTTCGCCAATTATGGTATGATCGGGTGTACTCAGCCTCGCCGAGTCGCTGCAATGTCTGTTGCGAAGCGTGTAGCTGAAGAGGTTGGCTGCAAGTTGGGTCAAGAAGTTGGGTACACCATTCGCTTCGAAGACTGCACCAGTCCAGAAACCAAAATCAAATATATGACCGACGGCATGCTTCAAAGAGAGGTGCTCGTGGATCCTAACCTCAGAAAATACTCAGTCATTATGCTTGATGAAGCCCATGAGCGAACCATTTCGACGGACGTTCTCTTCGGATTGCTGAAGAAAACGTTGAAGAGACGCCCTGACCTAAAAGTGATTGTTACATCCGCCACGCTCGATGCCGACAAGTTTTCTGAATACTTCAACAAGTGTCCGATCTTCACAATTCCAGGTCGTACGTATCCCGTGGAAGTGATGTACTCGAGAGAACCGGAGTCAGACTATCTTGACGCTGCCCTTGTCACGGTCATGCAAATCCATTTGACAGAGCCTCCAGGCGATATACTACTTTTTTTGACGGGGCAAGAGGAAATAGATACAAGTTGCGAAATTCTATTCGAGAGAATGAAAGCTCTTGGTCCAAGCGTGCCCGAGCTACTCATTCTCCCTGTTTACTCCGCTCTACCTAGCGAGATGCAGAGTAAGATTTTCGAACCTGCACCACCTGGCAGCAGAAAAGTGGTCATTGCGACCAATATTGCTGAGACTTCAATCACGATTGATGGCATTTATTACGTTATCGATCCTGGATTTGTCAAGCAGAACGCGTACGATCCTAAGCTTGGAATGGATTCGCTTGTTGTAACGCCTATCTCCCAGGCGCAAGCTAAACAGCGAGCTGGTCGTGCTGGGCGTACAGGTCCAGGGAAGGCATTCAGACTATACACAGAGGCAGCTTTTCAGTCGGAGATGCTTCCGACTTCTATACCCGAAATCCAACGCCAGAACCTGTCACACACCATCCTTATGCTGAAAGCCATGGGCATCAACGACTTACTCCACTTCGACTTCATGGATCCTCCTCCTACCAACACTATGCTAACAGCCCTCGAAGAGCTCTATGCCCTCTCAGCTCTTGATGACGAAGGTCTCTTGACGCGCCTTGGCCGTAAGATGGCAGATTTTCCTATGGAGCCAGCTCTTGCAAAGACACTGATTTTTTCGACTGATCTTGGGTGCTCAGATGAGATTCTGAGTATCGTTGCTATGCTCTCGGTCCAGACCGTCTTCTACCGCCCAAAGGAGAAGCAACAGCAAGCAGATCAAAAAAAGCAAAGGTTTCATGATGCTCATGGAGACCACCTCACCCTACTGAACGTCTACAATGGTTGGAAAGGAAGTAAATTTTCGAATCCATGGTGTTTCGAAAATTTCATCCAGGCTCGCTCAATGCGGCGTGCCCAAGACGTGCGTCAGCAACTCGTGAGCATCATGGAACGATATAAGCACCAAATTGTTTCATGTGGAAGGAACACGATGAAGGTGCGGCAAGCTTTGTGCTCCGGATTCTTCAGAAACGCCGCAAGGAAAGACCCACAGGAAGGCTACAAGACGCTCACCGAAGGCACCGTCGTCTATCTACATCCTTCTTCTGCCATGTTTGGGAAACCATCAGAACATGTTATATTCGATACCCTGGTCTTGACGACGAAAGAGTATATGCAATTTACTACTGCGATTGAACCAAAATGGCTTGTGGAGGCAGCGCCTACGTTCTTCAAGGTGGCCGCTACAGATCGACTGTCAAAGAGAAAGAAGGCGGAAAGGATACAGCCGTTGCACAATAGATTTGCTGGCGAGGATGATTGGCGATTGTCGGCGCAGAAGAGGCAAGGACGTGGTGGTGGAGGTGGTACTTGGGGTTAGTTGGCGCGCTTTGGATATCAGGCAACTCATAACTTGCGAGCTGGGTAGTGAGACATCTAAGTCGTTCACTCCGTGCTTTTACGCCAGTAGCTACTGTTCTATTTGCACTTTGTCGACGAGATGCCTTCCAGATTTTAGAAGTTGTCGTAGCTACACTCAGCGACGAAAACAAAGCCACGAATTTATCTCTTAGGTCTCAGGTATTTTCGACTTCCAGCTCGAGACTTATGAGCTTGTTGTCAAACTTTTGGGGTCTCAATTTTGTGGGTCTGTGGTCATTGACGTCTAACACTGACAATGGTGGCCAATTCTTTTGGACTCAAGCAATTAGCCGTGCAGCCTATTACAACGGGTACGACTGGAAGTATACCCTTTGAGGGCATTGAGATCCACCAGTTCAAAGCAGGCTGTGTTGACATGGGACGGCCCAGGGATTGCTCTGGAAGTAAAGCTCTGCTCCGGACATGCATGCAAGTGCTTCAATCCGTATCATCCACCACCGAGATACTTTTCCACATCGTCATTTCTGTAAAACATCTCCCGCAGCCTTTCCCGCTTTCTCCTATCCTCCATATCCATCTTCCGAACTTGCTTCGCATCCATTCTCTCTACCTTCGCGCCTTGGGGCTTTTTGTTTCCTTTTGTCTTCGCGCCTAGTCCCACAGTATCGTTCTTTACTTTGGCTTTGATGGGCGCCCTTACGCCTTTACCTGTTGCGCCCAATCCTTGTCTGCTGTCCGGATCCCAGCCATAGGATGAGAGGTACTTGAGCCCTTGTCGACTACGATCCAAATGTGACGGTGGATGCGAATGAGTCAAGCAGACCATGTGAGCTATAGTGGACTCGTGATTCGTGGACACTGTGGATGTCGGGTCTCCTATGGCATCTATTGGGAGATTGCAGATCTCACAGAAAGGTCCTTTCAGGTCAGGTTGCAGTTGTGTAGCACTTCTCCCGGGTTTAAAGACCTCGGTGGAAGTGGAATCATGGTCCTCGGTGGACGCACCATTTTTGAAGACAATATTTAGATACCGGTCTCCAGGAGAGATAGAGGGGGTGGTTCGACGTGCCAGTTGTATAGCCTGCGTGGGAGCTGCTGCTGCGGCCACGAAATCAATTCTCCTCCTCTTAACTCCAGCGCCGAAGGTTCTTTGCTGCTCCCATGGGCTGCAGTCCTCTTTGTCCGACATACTGATAGTGACTTCCAATTGTAGGAAATTTAATGTCCGTGGAGCTTGGGACGACGCTTGTACAGTAGATCGGTTCTAGTTAAAATACCACGATTACGGTATTGTTACCCTTGCCTCGCTTCCGCATGCCGTTGAACAATTATACTGCCGCAGCATTTGGCATTGACGATGCCTATCCATATACTTGCAAGCGCAGTATTTGAAGGAGTATCATTATTGCCATTCGTGATCCCTATCCTGAAGACTTTATCCTTGCTGTTCTCAATATGGCTCCTGAAGATTTACTTCGGGGGAGCCAGCAACACCTCGGAGCGCTTGATGCACTCTAAAGTGATCATGATTACGGTAGTTGAGGTTTATTCTCCCTTATGAGTGTAGCTGATTATGAGTAGGGTGGCACATCCGGCATTGGTGCAGCCGTAGTTCAGCATCTTGCGACTCGCGGCGCCCAGATAATTCTTCTCACTCATCATATGCCCTCGGACCCTTTTCTTGTGGACTACATTGATGATCTGCGCGCCTCAACCAACAACGAGTTGATCTACGCAGAGCAAGTGGATCTTTCGTCATTGCACTCAATACGAGTCTTTGCGACTAAATGGGTTGACAACGCTCCTCCCAGGAGACTTGACATGATCATATTAAGCGCAGACAGTCTGATACCTAGATTCGGAATCACTTCGAAGACAAAAGATGCATTGGATCCTGTTTGGGGGATCAATTATCTTGCAAACTTCCATCTTCTGAGCATACTGAGTCCAGCGATTAGAGCGCAGCCCCCTGATAGAGATTTTAGGATAGTCTTTGCAACATGTTCCAGCTATGTTGGGGGCGATCTGAAGCCTTTGAAAGACACAAGGGACCCTCTGCCGCCAGGAAGAAAGTACGAGACCAGTAAGCTGGCATGCATGATCTTTGCTCAGGCTTTTCAAAAACACCTGGAAGCATATCAACGGCCGGACAAACAGCCTAATAATGCTCGAGTCATCGTCGTTGACCCTGGTTTTACTCGGACACCTGGCATGCGGCGTTGGCTGACGATGGGTTCACTGTGGGGGTTGTTGTTTTACTTAGTCACGTGGCCTTTCTGGTGGCTTGTGCTCAAATCCCCTGTGCAAGGTGCTCAGGGTTTCCTCAGAGCTGCGATGGAGGCAGAACTGGGGAGAGGGTCGGCTGGGAGGTTGTTGAGAGAATGTAAAGAAGTGGACTATTTGAGGAAAGAGATCAGGGACGAGAATGCTCAAAAGAGATTATGGACGTTCAGCGAAAAGCAGGTTGAGGCGCTGGAGAAAGACGGTGCCATAAAGAGATCGTTGGCAAAGAAGGAGAATGAGGAAATGGAGAAGGCAAAAGCTACCGCGCCAGGCCAAAACGGGAAAGGGGTGGCAGCAGAGAAGGAGAAACCAGCGAATGCATCGAAAGCGCCTGGATCTCGAAGAAGTCGAAAAGCTGGTTGATACAATTTTCGTATTTTGATACCCCTGCATATGACGTTTCTAAATAGCAGCCTTTGTGGCGTGTATTGGAGCGGCGCGCGTAGCCTGCCGCGTACACTTTTCGAGAACAGACTTTTACTCTAGATCCATCAAGACACATCCTTGCAAATACGTATAACGACTCTTCGCCGACTCTTTGCAACAGCAATCTCGATTGACAGACCTTCCATCATGGTAAGTTCCACCTTTCCCCAGTCGCTCCTCCTACTCTTCCCACTAACTCTTCATCCCTAGTCCCTCCGTATAGCACCCCCCTTCAACCACGCTACTTCAACCAACAATACCAGCTCTACCACTGGAGGCGCACCCTCCGCTCCTGGCATTCATGACACCCTCCGCTCTTCTCTCACACCCACACCCACCGCCTCCTCGACAAATACCTCCCAACCTCAACCCAGTACCTCCACACATCCACTAGAATCCCGCCTCGCAGCCTGGCAATCAACACAAGATTTGCTCAAGATGAACATGCTCCGCCGCAACTTCGGCATCGCGGAACCCGTGCGACGAGGAATGGAGCTGAAGATCTGCAGAGAGGGGGAGTGGAGGCCAGCCTGTTTGGGGGGAAGCGCTGGGGTCGGAGGAGATGTTCTCGCGGGGAGGGATGCGGAGCTGACATGGGAGGATGTCTACAAGGGCGATGAGACTAGGGAAGGGGCGGATTTCCATTCGGAGATGGAGGCGAAGTTGAAAATGGATTGGTGAGCAGGTTGTGAGAATACATCTCATGTTACCTCCAAACAGGACTAGGCGTTCGGCAACTACTGGATCGAATACCTAGGCGACTCCCCTTGCACAATGGCGCGAGCCGCTTTTTCCCGTGATCATGCTACTGGAAGCAAATACTATTTCACAGAGACTACTTAACCCAGAATTCAAAGTCGCTAGATGTTCTGCCCCAAAAGCTCCAAAGAACAAGCAAGCTCTTTGGCAAGAAACCCCAAGTACAATTACATTGTAAGGAACCATGACTGTCCTAGATAGCGAAAACCGTCCAATCCGCCGTTTGAGGGCCTTGTGCTACATATCCATGAACGCCAGAAAATGCTTCAGATGGTGAGACCATACTCAACGCCGCCGTGATTCATCCACGCGTCGCCATGCTACAAGCCTCAAGCTTAACGTTACAATTATAGATTCATGTAGAAAGGAACATGCCGGTTATTGAATGATGCACCGACATCCTGGACTTCTCTCATTGCCATCCCGGTCTCTTCCCCCTGACTTCATCTTGGCGTCTTCTTCGTCCACGATCTCTTGTGGTTTGATGGTCATGTGGATGATGTGGGGTGTGAGACCATTGGTGAAACCAGAATCTTCAACGCTTATCAGTACTATAAAAAGCTCAAAGATCCAGAGAAGTGTATCCCACCAGATAATCGCGACTTGTCATTGAGCATCTTGCCCATGGATATCAGGCGTATGGACTCGGGACTGGATGGCTTGGCCTCCCATTCTGAAAGCCAGAGTCAGCGAACAACCTTGTAGAGCTTCACATCATCAACAGAGTTTTATCCTTACCTTCCCGCCAGTCTCTCAGTATGAGTTCCTTCAGCTTATATAGGCTTATGTTGATCGGATTGTTGCCCTCAACCGTCACATTGCGCTTTCGCAGGTATTTTTCGTCAAGCTTGTATGGATGCCTTGCTCCAGTACTACTCAAAAGCAAGGTAATGAATAAGACTGGACCTTCTATCTCAGATTCTTTGGGAACAGGCGTTGGCTTATCCGTTGCAGGACCAATTGCTGGCGCTGTCTTCTCTCTCGTAAGAGGAGGCGGTAACGTTGTATCTGGAGTGTGTGGTTTGTTTGCATCAACAGTTTTCAAGGGCTCACGGACTTGAGGATCGAAATTCAATGGGGAAGGTGAGGATTGTGTGCCCGTTTGTCCGTTCTCCTTGGAGTACTCAATCGGATCTGTGGTTATGGCAGGAGCTGGTGCGGACATATTCCCTGAATCCACGCTCGTGACGCCTTGCTGACCGTCATCACTTGTTTCTGTTGATATTGGAAAGGGCCCAAACAAAGACTTCGTGGGAATGTCCTCTGCTGTTTGCCGGTCCACCCGGGCTCCTTCTATAGATTCTGAAGAAGGCAAAGGGGATTGAAGAGGCTGGGGCTCATGAAGAGGTATGCTTGGAATCTCTGAGGCTCCAGTTGAACCTTCATATCCCGCAGCTCCTGAGAGGCCATCTACCGGAGCCATTGTGAGCACCAGTAGGAGCGGATCGGCGGCAGTCCGGACGCGAAATGGCGGGATACGCTGCCGAAGATTCGCAGATGGAAAGCGATTGGGATGGGAGACAATTGCTTGAATACGGTAATGCCGTGGAAGATGAGGTGGATTGTACAGTAAAGGTGGCGGATGGTTTCTCGGAAAGTCAACGTCAGGGCGGTTGGCACGGATGTGGGTCCGAGCAATATTACTCTACGTCTGAAAGAGTGTAGATTCTCAGACAGTAGTCCCCCCGAGATACTCTAATAAGACAGTTCAGATGGATATTTGCTGACCTCGTGCCCTACTTGCACACACTGGACATACTCTTCATTAGCCTTCTTTGGTCGATCACCCGTGCAGATGGCGAGTTAGGCTCGTAAGGTAGGTGTTGCCAAGCATCAACTACTGTCTGGGAGTTTGGGGTGCTCAACAAAAAAAAAAAGAGCAAAAGCATCTACGATTATGTGAGTAGCTGTGAAAATCTTGCAAAGGCGCTTGACAGGATGGGAAAGAGGGGAATTATTTACTGGGATACCTAAGGTATGGGAGAGTTGTTCGTTGACGTGTAGGTATCCTTAAATTACTGTCGCAAACAAGGAAAGCCGCCAAAACGTTTGAGCGTTTGAGACCCCTCGGACCCGCCCTCGCCGCCCTTAATTGAAGAGGCTCAGATCATATCTACCCGGAGCTTGAGGCTAAGGTACTTTACACACATGCGTCGAGCCCATGTACTTTACGAGTACGAGTACTCGTACTCTACCAATCTACACATTGGCACCCTATATTAGATATGTGATCTCCTCCCTCACTCTTCCAAGATTACCATTTGCTCGATTTGCTTGTCTCGCACGCGTGGTTTTTTGACAAAATTCAACGAGAAAAGCCATGACTACCGCATCTAGTGCATCATCCATATGATGTCAGGGGCATGAATATTCGTGCTGCCAATTGACATGTATTGATGCTTATTTAAGCCAGCCATCGTAGATGATTGAATTTTCCGCCTGCACACCCCGATCCTCCTGCTTCACTCCCAGTAGCCGGACCTTTCCAATGCTATCTCCGTGACCCTGATCAGCATCCACTCGATAATCGTCGAGAAATTGATGCAAGCCATCAATCACAGTACTCTTGTCCTCAACGAGTAAAACAATAGCGTCGTACCCTCCAGCGCCAGGCACTACACCGCCCACGACTCCAGGCAAACGACAGCAGGCATCTATCAGCTTCGTTTGCACCTCGGGCTCAATTGGCACGCCAGACTTCGTTGACATCTCACGGATCGAAGATCGTATTGTCAATATCACTGTGCGTAGGCCCTCGTAATCTTCAGCCTGGCCTGCGGGTTTAGATGCCAAGTTATGAAACTCTAAAGCAAGGTCCTCGTTTCCTTTCTGCAGAGTTTGCCATAGGAGTACTGATTCCTCGGGCTTTGTCTTCCTCCATGAGAGAACATTCTTGACCATTCCAACTGTCTCTGAGCCGCAGTCGACGTCACACATGACCAGCCTTAACCCTTTTGGCACAGTGGCAGCAGATTTCTTGTCTATAACTGTGTCCCATTTTTTAGACGAATCCGTATCTTCGACTATTGACTGTAAGCGAGTGGAAAAGCCTTTGCTTCCCACATCTCCCAGTCCTTCTAGGATTGAGGGCGAAAACCTTTTGTAAGTACATGATCCGCAGGCCGCGGCTGCTACGTCAAAGCCCGATCCGATCTTGCCTTGTGCAGCACAATGTGCTGCTTGAGCGAGGTTGTGGAGTCGCAATTTCTCCAGCATCGAGCTCGCATCAGCTACCTCTAGCGGAGCATAATGCGCGACCACAGCGGTTATGAAGGCCGTAACAAGTGCAGCGGATGATCCGAGCCCAGTTTTGTGCGCTTGGTGGAGAGGTATATTGAAGTCAAGAAATCGATCTACTGTAGATGGGATATCGTTGCCAGAAGATCCGGAGTGAGAGTAGTAGTCTCTATCAGCTAGGATCGTAATTGATGCCGGCCCAATTCTAGTAGAGTCGACAGCCGATACGTACGTTAGTGCGTAGGCAAGAGCTGTTTCGACGAATCGATTTCGAGATTGTGAGGATGTGGAATGACTATCCCGGTCACGTACTATCAGTGTTTTTGATAAGGTGCATCAGCCGCTCGACATGGAAAGACACTCAAAAAATTCTATCATGGATGCTTGTTCTAATGGGGCAATTGAATGAAGTGTTAGAAGGCCAATTCTTGCGGTGTGACGGGGAACGTAGATTCCCTGACATTTGCGTCGACAGAAAGGATGGGAGATACGGATGGAAAATCGAAGTATGCAGAAATCAATCAAAGCATATGGGTCGCTTGCATGATTGACCTAGGTTTTAAGACACTTGCTGGCTCACCCTTTCAGTTGGGTCACCTCAATGCCACCATTCTCTTCAGTCTCGCGGTAGCCATACCGCCATTCTGCATCCCGGAACTGGGGGGACTTGACAATGATCTCGGAAAGGGTGAGGCCAGGAGATGTCTGCAAAGTCTGCACATGAACATGTATGCGAGCGTCCAGTCCAAAAACAAAGCCCGTATAGTCTCTGTCCAAGACGAGATAGCCGCCAGCCAGTAGTACCTTGCCAGGCGCTGAAAAAGCAACGCTTGGTCGCTCCATTGTATGCTCGCCCTGACACAGCCGAAAAGTAAACAGCTTTTTCTTTTGCGAGGCACAAGGCGAACTCGAATACGTGGAGCGGAAAGGTCCGAAAACCG